CTCCGGTTGTATTGTAAACAACTGCATCGTTAATATCGCCTATCAGTTTGAGCCCAATTGAGAAGCAGAGGATATTATTGAAGAGGATCGTGCAGAACTTATGCACGCAGAGCTTTTAATGGTAGGCCTGTGTTTTTTGTTTGTTGTGGTCTCATACTTTTAGATACGCTGTTATTTGTAAATGCTACTGTTTATGTTAGCTTTTTATATACAGTTTTATCCTGATTAAAGCTTTAATACAGTACTGCAACTGCACGCGCATCCGGTCTTTGCATGTGGCCAAATATTGAAATTAAATGGATTTAAACGTTGAATCATATGAAACATCACCAGGCCGTTGGCGCCCTCTGCAGGTATGTTATAATATAGGCATATTACATTATGAATTTAACAGTGTTGTTCAATAAAACCATGTACTTAGTTTTGATACTTTATTTGAGGCCAATTATTATTGCCTAATCGTTACTTTATAGATAAATATAGTCATATTAAAGCCTGTTTTTCCACTTAGTTCTATTTGTATTACTAAAAAATATCAGATTACTCACTTGTCAAAATAATCAGTAGATTACTTGATTAGCAAAATAATCATTAGTTAAGCACTAGGTTAGTTAAAACATTTCAAAATTCAACTGCATTGGTTTACTTTTTGTGATTTAAAAGACAAATATTTTGTCATTTGAAAATTTCTTAAAGTATTAAAACATTGTCTCGTTCTAGTGAACCAAGTATCTGCATTTTGTCTCACCTTGTGAGCGAAGTGTATTGTCACACCCCTAGGGTCTATGAGTGTGATAAAGCTCATAATTTTCCAAGTGTATTATATAGCTTTCATTCTTCAAGTCAATCATATATTCATGCAGTTTGAATATGCAACAACTTTGCCATAGTATCCTTTCAAATGTTAAAGTTGCCACAGTCATTGCATTCTTTGCATGTGCTGCACTTTATTTCTACCATTTTGTTTTATTAGAATTTGAAAGATAATAACATTGATAAGTGAGATCTGATTTTAGTCCTTGAAAACCAAAAAAGTAGTGCAAGTCATTGAAAGTCCTGTCATTTTATTTGGCAGTATCTGTACAAATCCTGTTTAAGCGACCAGTTCTTGGACCATTTTATTGTTTTTGTTGTTGTTAATTGAACTGAACTTTGTATATTTCCTATTTTATATTAATTTCATAGTATTTAATTTACCTTTATTTATTTTGAACAAAACAGTTTCAGAAATGTCATGTTTTAGATTGTAGGTCATCTTGTACCCTGTCAAGGACAAAGCTAACCAGCAAAACTTGATATCAAAAGCATCCTAAATGTTACATGTGTTTGCACCATATTGTAGTGAGTAAACATTCTTGGTATTGCTGTTTCAAATATCCCACCATAATCTGTAGTCTGAGTTTGTTAATGGCTAATGCAATGGCAGATACGTTACTAGTTAGTTTCAAGGAAAATCATTTTCTTGTTTTGTTTGCCAGATAACCCCGTGTATGTGTCCGCCCCCGGAAAAAAGTTCTAAACTATTTTTGTTAGTTACAGTTTTTGATTTGTTAGTTTGTCTTAGTTAATTTACAAAACAAATGACCGTAAATAACATAAATGGTGTGCAATGCAACAGAGAGAAAGCGGCTTCTGTGCGTCTCTCTTCATTTGTTGTCTTGTTATTCACTGGTTGGCTGCTCCACAGTTTTGTTTAGTTTTTTTTAAGCACCTGACTATTTGGAAAGAAAGTGGTGATGTGATATGCAGCTAATGTGGTCAAATGATGTAGTTCTGCTTTTTTGGGGGGTTGGTAGTATTTCTTGCAAATGTTTTTGAAAGAAGTCGCTTATGCTTACCAAGGCTGCATTTATTTGATGAAGTAAAAGTAAAAACTGTAATGCTATGAAATATTACAGTTTTAAATAACTCTTTTCTATTTCAATATATTTTAAAATGTAATTTATTCCTGTGGTGGCAATTTTTGATCAATTTAATGCAAGTGTTCATTTTAAATTTTACTGGCCTCTCTTTAAAGATTCTTTTTTTTTTAGTTTAGTCACTCAATGGGCTAAAATTGTCTCCGGAATAAAGAGAACATCATCTATTTCCAAGGTAATGGCAACTGGAAAGCTACTCTTGTACAACAGAACCTTTGATCGGAATTTAGGCAAAAAGTTACATTTGTAAAACAGGAGTATCTGTATACTTGAGAGAGCATTATCAGAAAAGACTAGGAAGATTAGGAAAGCCTTGGGGTCATAAAGAATCATCAAGGAAATTTGCTTGATGGGAATTTCTTGTGGCTCAGAAGATAAACTGAAAATAAATTGGTCATTGCATCTCATGCTCTCTTTGTCTTTAATTATTTCTCTCAGAAGAGGAGGGCAGGCCCCAGCGCCGCAATAGAAGCCGCCGCCGTCGTAACCGTGGCAATCATCCTGAGGGAGGCTCCACCAGCCCTGACAGACAGCCAAGTGAGAGAGTGGGAAGGGTTCAAAGATGTAGGAGCAAAACTGACAGGAGGGGACTACAGAGAGTTGAAGATTCATTTAAGCTTTTAAGGCTATTTTCCTCTTTGTTATTCAGCTTTAGTAGAGAGTGACAGGAAGTAATTGTTGAGAGAGAAGGGACTGGGATTGTTGCTGACCAGATCTAAACTAGCAAAAAACTAGATTGTAATTGGTGATATTTGCAGATTTGGTTGGCTTTTTTGTGATGTTAATTTCACAGTCATGGCCTACAGAAGGTGTGAGATATAAATGCAATTTAAAGAGTTTGCTGTAGGTAATTGGATTACTTCGCTTGTTTGATCACTTGCTGCTTTTTCCCCCTCAACCTGACAACTGTTGCTCTCTCTGTTGATAGTTACTGTTGCTGACTTCATCTCTCGTGCCGATTCCCAGAGCAGACAGAATCTCCCAGGGAAGAAGGAGGTGACACAGCACACGTCCCACCCCAAGGTCTACAAATACAACAACACAAAACACGCCTCAGATTAAGACTGCACAATTTGGGGAGAAATTTAATTGTGATTTTATTTCATATTTTAAAATATATAAATATATATATGGATTATTTTAGATGTATATATTATACAGATTTTATTATTATTATTTTTATAATTATTGAGAGGAAAAAAAGCTTCAGGCTTTAAGCCCCGTTCACACCAACAACGATAACTATAAAGATAACGATATTAGCGTCCACACCAGCGAACGATATGGACTCTGCTATTCTTTAATATTGAGAATGATTTTTAGAACTATATCTTTATAGTTATCGTCCTCAGTGTGAACGGGCCTTTAGAGCCGCACAATTCGGCCAATATTTTGTCATTTATTTATCAATGAAACTATGAAATAATAAAAAAAAAATTTTGTTATTGTTATTTTTCTTAATATTAATATTTTAATATTTATACTTGCATATATTTGTGTTTACAAATATAAAATAAAATAAAAACATTTTTTATATCATAAATATTATATTATTAATATATAATTTTAATATAAATATAATTATTTTTTATAAATATATAACAAATTAAAAAATATAATAATAATAATTATAATACATTTATTTTACAGTACAACTTCACTTTGAAATATGCATTGCATATGTATGGGGTAATGTACATCCAGCCGTTGTTATCGCAGTCAGGGTCCTGATCACCCTGTCTGCGGTTATTCTGCGATAACAATCAGCTGGATGTACATTATCCTGTTTATTACACAGCTTCTTACCGCATAAGTAAATAATTAGACGCAAAATATTGATTTGAGTTGAAATATTTGAACGCAAAGCTTCTGTTAAGACAGCAGTTCAAACTAGACGGAAATTTAAGGGAAATGGTGCAGTCATACCGCATATTACACAACATTTCACCACATAAATAATTATGGCGACAAAAGATATTGATTTAAGACAAAACTGTTTTAAAATCTTACCAGTATGTTAGTTATATAATATATAATCCATTACAGTGTACAAAACAATGGTCGCAAAATGGCAGCAGCTGCATTTGTATGAAACGAAAGAGTGAGTCCGCGATACCAGGATGACATAATTAAATAATTGTACACATAATATTGAATCGAGTTTTAATATTTTATTAGCTAACGAAACGCAAAGCTTCCACCAGCAAAAACTGTTCCTAGCAAGAGTACAGTGCTGACTTCAGTTACCCGGATGAGCCTGTTATCAGCTTTTACTAGGGATGTAACGATTCACTCAACTCACGATTCGATTCGATTCACGATTCTTATTTATTTTTTTTACAAAATTAGATTTAAGACAAATTATAAATTAAAGTGTCCTTTTATTATTGCTTGGACAAAATGCTGCACATTTCTTTGTGAAATTGAAATATAACACTATAATAATATACTAATATAGCACTTGCATATTACTGCTCTTTTGTTGGTTTTGATTGCTTCTATTGTCCTCATTTGTAAATCGCTTTGGATAAAAGCGTCAGCTAAATGACAAAATTTAAATATAATGTAAATGTAAATAACAAAACTACATTGCAATTTTAAAACAAGCCCCAAATCAAATAAATAAGTAACACAAATAAAAGAAATCTCTTCATATAAACAAACTAAGGCTTTGTCTGTGCTCTTTCCATTTAAAATTAGAGGCAACCACTGCATTTTAATCTTGATCCAAACAAAGATGCTGCATACATGCAACATGAGCAGTTTTTAAACTAAATTAGATTGTATAATTTCGAAATTTGAAGCAAAAACAGAATGGTTTGACTTCAGTTTTGTGAAACTATAAATAAAAATATCTGCATGAAACAGCAGAACTGAATTAGATTAACTCTCTGACAGCAGGTGGCGCTTAAAGCATTTCATTGGTTTCCACTGTAAACAAAGCAGCTGAATTTATGAATTTTAATATGCATTATACAGAGGCAAGATGAAAAGAAAAAATACCATCTAAACTTTTCTAAAGACAGTGAGTTCCCCTCAGACATGCATTCATATAAACTCCTACCCCTAAATGAATCGCGCAGACTTTTCAAACAGAGCTAAAGAGAGAGGTTGTTGAACTGACAGGTTCAGTGTTGATTCAGTATTTCAGCATCTCTTTCCCCACCATATGTGGAAGGAAGGTGGGATGAATATGAACGTGGAAAGGGGCGTGCGCACGCTCAATAGCTTCCAGCCCACAACTAAATGAACAGCAGGAGGGGATTGGTGACCCTCTGGTGTGGATGGTTAGTCTTGATGATCTAGAAGGCACTCTGGGAACAGTGAAACCATATTAAGATAAAGCCAGAAACACTGAGACAGATGCATTGGTTCACACTCACACACGCATGTACATCCAAGAGCATTATAATACTTTCCAGTTTGGTTAAATGGGGTTTTGGCCTCTTCTGTCTCAGCTGGGAGATCTGATGCTGTGGCAGAGAAGGTCATGGAGCGTTTGTCGTGTCCCTGGTTGTCATGGTTAAAGGGAGGTAGCGTTCCCTCACATTGTTACCGTCATCTTGGTTCCTGCTCTCTCTAAGTTTTTTTTCTTTTTCTTTCCACATCAGAAAAACAAAAACGATTAAAATGGAAGTGAAATAAATTATTTCTGGAATGACACCTGTGTGCAGAGTCTGGTTCCGGTTTGTGCACTTTACACGAATGGGGTGCAAAATAGGATCTGAAACTCTTAAACAAATCTAGTATTTTTCCCAGAAAATGATAAGTATAAAGAAAGAAATGGTCAAACTAGATATGATATTAAATGGATTCTCCACCCAACAATGACAATGTACTCATTTACACACCCTCATGCCATCCAAGATTAATTTGACTTCTTTGGAGGACAAACAGAGATCTTTAGAAAAATAATCTACCTTTGAGTCATTGAGTCCTCAATTGAGTTTGTAGGGATTATCATGTTTGTTTTGTGTGGTTTTTGATGCATTGACTTTTGAGGGTCCCATCCACTTAAATTATAAGAATGCGCAGCAATGGATTCTAAACATCTTGTTTTCCACAGAAGAAAGTCAAATACGTCTGACAGCATGAGGGTGAGTAAATGATGAGAGGATTTTCAAAAGTGAGTAAATGATGAGAGACCTCCCATAAGCATTAAAGGACCCTCTATAAATCCCCCAAAAAATTAACTCCTGTAAAACTATAATACTTGAAACGAAACTAGTGAAAATGGAAATAAAACGAAAAGTGTAAATTACTGTATTAAATTAGACCCGTTCATGTTACATCATATTTCTTTTTACAGCCGTTGCGCATTATAACTAATCACACGATTCTTTTGAGTTTATGAAAGCAACGGCCAATCAGAAGCGTCCAGATGAGTCCTCGCTGAAACACCGGAGTTTCGTTGTGTGTGCGCGCGCGCTCGCTGACCGAATTCTGACTGAAACTCGCGAATTCTCTCAACGTAAGCAACAAAGTGCAGAAGTATGTACGATGTAAGTAATCCATTTATCATAAAGTGTGTATACCGCTTCATTGATTATAACAGGAGTTTTGAGTGCTTAAACTCTGGCTAGCCTGAAGTCAGCGGTCTTTAATGTAAGTGTTCTTTGCTCCATTGCATAATTTACTGTTTGAATAACTGAAAATTAAAGTGTTATAATTAGAAACTTAGAATGTTTTTATTCAATTGTGATCACTTCAAATACAAATTCAGTCGTATTCAAATATTTCATGACACCATATCTGGTACTTTTCTAAACAGGTTTTTGGTGTGTGTTACACTAACGTTACTTTAGCCTTACCCTGCAGTTGGTTCACTCTCTGCCTATGGGTAAGATATTTGTTTGGTACACCAACTGATATTGAAAAAGCTTTTATCTTGGAACCGACAAACAGTCATTAGGTTATTAGGTTTTCTCAACGATAAGAAAAAGAAATACATTTAGTTATAAGAGCTTTGACACAATTCGAACACTGCTAAATACAAAAGACTATTTCATCTCTTGCGTACTGATCAAGACAGACTATGAGGTCCATGTGGGAGTGCCTCATACATCCTAAACACTCAAATCGTCTAATTTTTGGATTGCTTGGCTTTATGAAGAGGCAGACTGCAGAGTTTATTTTACGGGATTGATAGGATAACAGTATTATATTACTGGCCATATTTGCTTTTGTTTATGAATACTAAAACGCATAATGGAGGTTTAGAACCTGATCCCAGGTTCAGATGTCACGGATAAATAAGACCTTCAATTTGAAAATGCATTTGTTACCAGAGCTTAACCTACGTATGTTTACAGATTCATCACTGCAGTGTTTACGTTTTGCATCGTTGTTTAGGAAACCTTTATTATGCTCAGTGCCTACAGACCGGTTTTGTTATATATATATACATACACTAAAAATGACAACACAACAAAATTACTAAAACTTTACATTTAAAATAAAAATGGAAAATATGAATAATGAAATCCAATGGTTGTCTTTACTTTGTTGAACACAATAGAAATACACCTGCTGTATTCATAATGGTGCAGGGTAGGGGTTGTGTGACGTTTCAGAGCAAACATCTTCATCTGTGACCACCACCTGTAATCACGCAGACTGGTGCTCCACCTAGAACATTTGTCACTTCCTCCCCCTGTGAACAGCAGTGCATCGACACCCTCTGAAGACCAGGCTTCAGGCAAGTACACTGGTTTCTAGACTTGTGTAAATAATATACATCAGTTGCTTTCTGTAGTGTTCCATTTCTGTACTGTTCCTATATCTGATGACTTTTTTAAATTAAATTATTTTTTCAGATAATTAAGGATTGTTGTTTTTCTTAATAGCTTTTAAAGTGGTGGCACCGCAACAAAAATGCCTAGAAATGTTTTGTTTCTCAAATTCTCAAGCATGTCCAGATAGGGCACATTTTTAATTGTAATTGATAGAAGCACCTTTTTATATTTTTTAAATCACATTCTTGCGATCTTCTATAGCACTTTTTTTTACAGCATTTACCACACTGCTACATGTATTTAAGCTGAATGTTTTCCATCTGTGAAACCACACTCCTCTATTTTCCATCTCGTGTTCCGTTCCCCATTTTTATGCTCTGATACTTTTTACTGATACCACACCTGCAGTAAAAGGTGTGGAAATTTGCATTGTGTTCCTCTGTGCTGGGGTGTGGGAGAGGACCGGCCCTGCATGTGGGGAATCTTTTTCAGTCCCGATCAAGTTTCTCTGATTGTAGTGGAGATATTTGATCATGGCACACTCTTGTAGCTCTTAGCGGTATTTTATTTTTTTTATTTTTTTTTAAGTGATGCAATGTAAAACCTCTCTGTCTGACTCAATGTTTACAGGCTGCAATCTATCGTTTGCTTGCAAAAGATACCACTGACTCAGAAAGATTAAAATGGGAGCTTTTGGAAGATTCACAGATAAAAGCTTTTTACTCTCAAATATCCAATTCAAAAGTTTCAAGTTTATTTATCATGTGTACAATGTCAGTGACAATTTGCACATTGAAAAGCTGAGGCTAAGGCATTCTACATTAGTGCAATACAATATAAGTGCACTATAATACAAACCATTAGAGAGAAGAGAAAAAAAATGTTTGTAGTATGTGCAGTCTGTTTTTAAAGTGCAAATGATCTTTGTAAAGAAAAATAGTCACCATGAGGTATATGTGTTGTATACATATTTGTAAGGAGTGTAGTGAGTATTAAAGGGGTCATCGGATGCAAAATTCACTTTTGTTGTTGTTTGAACATAAATGTTGTGTTGGAAGTGTGTGTACACATTCACCCTATAATGATAAAAATCCACCCAGTGTTTTTTTTTTTTTATCCCTATTTTAAAATCCTCTTTCTCAAATCAGGCTGTTCTGAGATTCCTGTCAGAATGACATAGTTCTGCACAGGCCACTCCCACGATAGTTGATTGACAAGTCCGTCTTACCTTAAGACCCGCCCTGAGTGAGCCGAGAGCTGTACGCGATTGTGTCGACTCTGTTGCAGGAGAAGACAAAATGTCTCAGATTAAGCAATTGAGGTGTTTTGTTGCTGGATATAATAATGAACATAACAGTCGTCATTTACTCCGGACATCTGAGCCGCTGAAGACGCAGAGGATTAATGTTACTTTTGTTTTTTAAATGAATGCGCCGATCCCCGATCTGCCTAAATGCGTTTAAGTTTGCGCGAATCATTCATGATCCAGCTTCATCTACAGAAGAAGTGAGTATAAGGGTTTTTTTATGAATCTTTGCAAATCGCCTTTCCTAATATGTGCTAGTTAACAAGTTTCGCGGCTGAAGTTTACAGTCTGCTCGTCACCCCACGGAAGAGAGGGGCAGGGTCAGCAAAGTTCATTAGCATTTAAAGCAACACGAACTAGAACGGCTTGCTGAAAACAGCTGATTTTGACAGGGTAAAAAGGGTGTTTTTTACACTACCCCTGTAAGGTGGGTAATTTGGTGCCTTTAATGATTTCAGCTGCTCTCACGACTCTGGAGAGCCTTGTGATCGCTGATGGAGCAGCTTCCATAGTAATTTAAATTCCAATGTAATTTAAATGTGAATAACACTGCTATCTGTATTGTCATACAAAGTGGGGACAGTTATTTAATGTTTGTAGACCAACTAGAATGTAAAGTGATGTAAAACCAGCTAAATTTAGAGGGGTTGCACATGTGATCTCACATCTGCCAGCAACATGTAGACTGTAAATATCCTGACATTAACTCTTGTAAGGGTTTATGCCATGATAACTCAAAATATTAATCCATCAGAAGAGATTTTAAAAAGTGTCTTACTTTAACATGTCCATTAAGTGGAACCCTCAAAACTAATTAAATTTAATTTTGCTTAATAATAATAATAATAATAATTATTATTATTATTATTATTATTATTACAGAAGAGATTTTAAAAAGTGTCTTACTTTAACATGTCCATTAAGTGGAACCCTCAAAACTAATTAAATTTAATTTTGCTGCTTAATAATAATAATAATAATTATTATTATTATTATTATTATTATTAAATAATGTGCATGTATTTAAACATATGCCTCTATAAATAAATACAAATCTCTTTATTTATTAAAAGTGTGTGTGTGTGTGTGTTTATGTTTATGATGAGCATTCTGATTTGTCTGGATTTTCAAATGTGTTTTCCCAGGTCAGTTCATGATGGCATATCCAGCTGTAAGTGTCCAGCCAGCCTTGGTGGTGACCACTAATAATGTGATGTTAAACCAGTGGAGCAGCGGAGTGTGTGACTGCTGTGAAGACATGGGCATCTGTAAGTGTGGGGTTGAGAGAGAAAGAGGAAAAACAGGACATATCGACTACAGTCTATGTTTGTATGTGTGAAGAATGATGAGAATAAACTGTGAGCTTGTGAATGATCTGAAAGCAGTTCAATGTCATCTGCTTTTCTGTGGTAGGTTGCTGTGGTTTCTGGTGTCCATACTGCCTCATGTGTAAGACCAGTGAGGAATTTGGAGAGTGTCTCTGTCTCCCCCTGCTGGAGATATGCTTTGGTGGCATTTTGCATCCAATTACTCTCTCCATGAGGAGCAGTATGAGAGAGAGATTCCACATTAAGGTAAATACAGCATCACTATACAATTACGCAATTTTAAATAACTGTTTTCTATTGTCATATATTTTAAATTTTAATTTATTTCTTTGATGCAAAGCTGAATTTTCAGCAGCCATTACTCCAGTCTTCAGTGTCACATGATCCTTCAGAAATCATTCTAATATCCTGATTTGCTGTTTAAGAACCATTTCTTATTATTATTATCAATGATGAAAACAGTTGTGTGGCTTCATATTGTTGTGGAAATCCCAATACATACATTTTCAGAATTTTTGGATAAACAGAGGGAAGTCGTGGCCTAATGGTTAGAGAGTCGGACTCGTAACCCAAAGGTTGAGGGTTTGAGTCTTGTAACGGCAGGGATTGTAGGTGGGGGGAGTGAATGTACAGTGCTCTCTTCCACCTTCAATACCACGACTGAGGTGCCCTTGAGCAAGGCACCGAACCCCCAACTGCTCCCCGGGCGCCGCAGCAATAATGGCTGCCCACTGCTCCGGGGGTGTGTGTGTTCACTGCTGTGTGTGTGCACTTTGGATGGGTAAATGCAGAGCACTAATTCTGAGTATGGGTCACCATACTTGACCACATCTCACGTCACAAAAATATTTGTATCAGTATAATTTATTTATAATACAAATATTTGTCAGTGTGAAAAAGTCTTTACTGTCACTTTTGATCAATTTACAGTTTTTCTCGATTGCTTAAACACATTTCTTGAAACTATGCCTCATATTCTCAAAACAGTAAACACAAATCCATAACGTCTCACCCAATTCCCCAAACATCCTATTTTCAGGTCAAAATGAAGCTCTACACTCAAAACCATTCACTCTTGCTGAAAAACCAAACTTTTCCCTCAGACATCATACACAAGCTTTCAAAAACACACACACTACAACATAGTCTTACACACTGGTGAGATAAATTCAAAACAATACTACAAAAACCAGTAATAAGTTATGTTGCTTGTGGTTGTCCCCCTCAAGGAACTTTTCACATAATGAACACGTGTGTACATTTGCACATTTTTTATTCCTTAATGTACTGTACAGTACAATAAACCAAACGACAACAAAAAAATAATCTGCCCCAGCATCACATCTTTGTTCTGGGTCAGGCCAGAGAATCTCGTCAACATCACAGGCTATACTGGCCCTAGCTAGGCAGCGGGGGGAAATCCTCTTGCATGCCTGATCCACCCCTGGCATCAGCTGAAATGTCTAGTCAGGCTTCTTCCATTCCATCGTCTCTGTGTCCTACAAAAATAGAAGTACTGATTACTGTAACTGTAACATCCTTTTTACAAAATGGAAGCAGACAGAAACTCTATCTGTATGTAAGGCAATTTGATGCATGTGTTGTAACAGAGTACAGCACTCAAAAGTTACAGTAGAGTACACTGAGGTACACCTACCTGTTTTCCTCCCTGAAGGTTCTTATGATCGAGGTGACGGTGAAGCAACTTAAGTTTGGCTGAACTCATTGCCCAGCCTCCCTCATAGTCATAACCATGGACAAGGACATGGTCAACTAGTGGCACAAATTTCATCTGAGACTCCTTGTCTCCTTGCCCCTCATCTTCATCCTCCTCTTCCTTCACCTCTTCCTCCAATCCTTACTGCTCGTGCTCATCTTCTTCCTCCTCCTCCTCCTCCTCTCTGGTGTCCTCTACTTTTTCAATCACATCTCTCTGGATCCATTGTTCCAAAATTGAATGAACTGACTTGGGCTCTTTTATCTATCTATTGAAGGTTCTGATTGGTGTGTGATACATTTTGACTCTTAGTGTTTCCAGGTGGGTAACTGTGTGCTAATTGAGCTCAAGCTATGCTGACTTGCGTGAACAATATTGAATGCTAGTGCTTTCTAAATGACAACATGGTCTAAGCAATGAGAAATGAAGGTATTTGTGTGTAGAGTTTTGCAGTGACAGTTCAACAAATCTGATTCATGTGTCAAAAAGGGGAATAGTGTTTATAGTTTAGGGAAATGGGTGTGCTTTTTGATAAATGGCGTTAAGGTTTTGAAATTTTAGTTCAAAAGCCTGGTGATAGTGTTTAAGCAATCGAGAAAAAACTGTAATACATCATTGCTGAATACAAGTATTAATTCCTTTAAACATTTTAATTTGAATTTCATTTAATTTTATTTCATTTGACCAAACATGACCAAAAAAAGCACAACTCTAGTGGTACAGTTTTTGATTTGAACTGAAATACTAAATAAATATATTTATAAACAAAACTGATTTACCACAATAATGTGTTTATGATTTGGAAAACCATTCTAATGCTTATATATATATATATATATATATATATACAGTGGTGTGAAAAAGTGTTGGCCCCCTTCCTGATTTCTTATTTTTTTGCATGTTTGTCACACTTTAATGTTTCAGATCATCAAACAAATTTAAATATTAGTCAAAGATAACACAAGTAAACACAACATGCAGTTTTTAAATGAAGGTTTTTATTATTAAGGGAAAACAAAATCCAAAACTACATGGCCCTGTGTGAAGAAGTGTTTGCCCCCCTGTTAAAACTGTGGTTTATCACACCTGAGTTCAATTTCTCTAGCCACACCCAGGCCTGATTACTGCCACACCTGTTCGCAATCAAGAAATCTCTTAAATAGGACCTGCCTGACAAAGTGAAGTAGACCAAAAGATCCTCAAAAGCTAGACATCATGCCGAGATCCAAAGAAATTCAGAAACAAATGAGAAAAAGTAATTACATTATTTAATATAACTTTTTTTGCTTGCAAAATTTATTTAATGTATTTCTTCATGTATGCCGGAATTTTAAGAGAGCACATGCACAAAAGCTATAACATGTAACTGTGGAAAAGTAGAGAAAAGAAAAAAGCCTAATGTTAAATAGTTATTTTGAACATTTCTGTTTATGGTTACAGTAGCCTATGGTTTCACTGCAGAGGTGTGTCTAAAGAGAATAAACATATATGATGATAAGAAAAACGTGTGTTTGTGTGTAAGAGAAAGAGCGCAGTTTAGTATTTGCATACCTGTTTGTGGTCCTAATGTTATGCTAATGCTATTGTAAAAAGGTAGCCTAGTTGTGGTAATGTTATGGTGATTTTGTAATCTTTGCGATGTCCAATTTCCCTCCTTTCAGTTTTACACTTACAAACTCAATAGTTTTTAGCTCATAACCCTCTCTGATCAGGGCCCTTGGAATTGTCCTAACCTTCCCCCCATTATGGCACCCTTCTCTCCTACTCTCTGACTGCTGTTTGGTGACCTACTGAACTATGCATGCCTAATGTCAAATGGCAAGAGAGCTGAAGTAGAGCTTATACGTGAAAAATGCCGGAAACTACAAGAAACCAAAACCATGGCAGCCTCATAAATCCAATAAACCTTCCCAGCGGAAAGAATTGTAGAATAGCTATAAGTCTTTAAAATCAGTGTTGCAACCAAAACTATTCAAGCTATTCAAATGTTCTAGAACTAAACGTTCTAGTCCACAAAGAAGAGTTTTTCTGTTTCTGCATTGCGTTTGAGTGTGTCTGGCAATTTTTGTTTTTTGGTATATTCTACTGCTTTATTTTTTTTCCTACTGGGAATATCAAAAAAAGCTTGTTATGTCTGCAAACATCTTATATTTGTTCAGTTGGCTGATTTTGAAGAGCAAGTCTCTTCCTCACCTTTGCTTTGTGCACCAGATTTTGCATCCAGTCCATTTTTGCATCCTATATGTTAACATGGTTTACTACAATAAAGTTTCTTCATTTTCAAAGGTCAGTAGTTTGTTGAATGCATTGAGTGTATTTTAACATGTAACCATCTTAAAAATGAGATCTACTGCATTTCATTTATGAGTTCACTGGTCTGTTGTTTTAAACTTTTCTCAGCAGTTTAAGACTGTTGACTGGTTACTGAAGAATTGTGTGTTCTTTCAGATAGCTCTGACTTCCTGTCAATTCCACACTGTGCAATTCCACATAGTTCCACATCTCATCACATTTTATTTCTTTAGTATTTGTTCCTTGAAATGTTTGACTCATGGTGACCTGTCGTTCTACATGTGTCTGTTGGAAAATCTACACAAGCGCTCACCAATCCTCCTAGTAACTAGAGTTCATCAAAAGCAGCAAATGCAACCAGTCTGTACAAGCAACTACGCAAACAACAATCTGAGCGTGATGATGCTGAGACAGCTGTGTCAATCAATGTTGTTTTGAGAAATCAGTCAGTCTCAGTGCTGAACATTACAATAACATATGTACAGTACAATATTTATACTTTATGATTTTGACACGGTAAACCCATTAAAATAATCACTATTGAAATACAGTGTCATAAAATTACATACAGTCTAATGAGGGAGGAACGTTTGCTTAACAAGCTCTGGCTATTAATATTATAATTCATATCATTTTTACATGAAGATATATATCAAAAAATGAATACTGCCACTCCTGTTGAGTTACATCAGAGTTTCGAACTTGTTTGTTCGTCACTGACATAATTTACTGTAAACCATCTGATATCTCTGACATGTAGCAGATGCTTATCAGCTGTTTGTAAGAATAAGGACAGGTGGTGAGTTTAAAGTACAAAAGGATGGTGATCTTCCAGTGATTCTCAGTTCCTGAGTCACCTGGGATTGACCTTTCTTAAGATTCTTAACCTTACCAAAGAAATAAAAGTCCATTATAATAATAGTCTTGCTTAAAATGTAATTCCCTGTTTGCCAACTGAAACATTTACAACTGCTTTCTGGAGATCAGTAATTAACCATGATCTTCCAGCAGCATGCAAAAAAAAAAAGTGAAATAGTAGTTGAAATTGCAAACAAATATCCACTTTTCAGACCTGTATGTATTTTAAATGACACAAACACTATAAGGAACTTTTGTTTACAGGAAAAAAACAACTCATTAATGCTTCTTAAACAGGGGTTTTCAAAGTTTTTGATGACAAGCATCTAATTTTTTTGGATCCCCTTTTGTGGGACCCCTTTTCTAAAATATAAAGGGAGCTAGGCCTATATATTTTCATATATAAAAACTCATTTATGCTGTTATGAACACATATGCTGTGTGTGAAAAATATTACAGTAAGTGTGAACACATCCATCGATGCAGTCTGACCCAGAGTCTCGGGTTGCAAGCGGGGAAAACACCCAGGACAGATGGCCAGTCCATCACAGAAAGACAGCACATTGTTTCTTAAATTAAATAATTAGCTTCTATATAGTCATTGTACTGAAGCAAATTATTCATTATTAAAATATTATCTGGAAAATATTATGTTGTATTAAATTGACCGTGAATTTAGATAGTTTTTTGTACAGCTTAAACCTGAAAACAAACATTTAAAAATAATTTTTTACCTATATTGAAAAGCAATCTGGACAATAAATACGTTAAAAAAAAGTTTATTTCATTATATAAGATATCATGAAAGTAGTATATGAATAACCCTTCAATCATGGTAATTTCACATTTTTCAAAAGCTTATGATTCACATTTTAGTCACATTCACAGTCAATACCAAACGATGCAATAAAAATATTATATATATAAAAACACTGGCCAAAAGCACGTATGCAATGAACACATACAATAATGAAAAGAAAACACAAAAGGACCTTTTGAGCAAATGTGTGACAATAGTTCCAATAATTCAGCAAAATACATAATAAAATATATATGTACAAGAGGAAGAACACAAAGACACAGCACAGCAGGCAACAAAACTGGTTCAGTGGCATTCCAGAAGAAATCATAACAAAGTTTGTAATGTCACTTACAGTGTAGTTTTAGATCTCATTCGGTTACTTACGAGATGTGCATAACAGACTGTTTTAATAACACAGTATCAATGAAAATAACAATATGCATATTCTAAATGGTCAATGTCTGCTGTTCCAAAAAGATTTATATTAAAACAACTGTCTCATCTGACTCCAGTGGCTCTTGGCTTGCAGGTGCTCCATTCTCAAAGCTTCTCCATGGCACGCCGGTATCCATAACAGCTGGTTTGCATGGCACATCTATGCCCAATTCCTGTGAAGGGGGTGTATTGCATATTTCAAACAGGACCTCAAATTTATTCTCTGAATCTCCTGACTCCTGCCAAATCAGCAGTTCGTATCTCCCAAAGCGGCAGAGCACCTTGTCATCAAGCTCAGCTCTTTCGAGGTATCTCAGTTCAGACCCACCGACCATGAGTTTGACCTTCTGGCTCATGTTCTGGATCATGAAGCTCAAGAACGGTTGGTAGCATAGAGACCCGGATTAAAACCATACAAAATCTTTATTTCTGTCTAATTAAATTCTATTCACCACTGTAGCAATGGTGATTTATTTAACTGCCCAAGTGACATGCAGCCTTTGTTTTTGTTGTAAATACTAACCAGTTACAGAAGCAGAAAGACTTGTCTGAGTGGAATAGCACTCCATGGCACGCCGGTATCCATAACAGCTGGTTTGCATGGCACATCTATGCCCAATTCCTGTGAAGGGGGTGTATTGCATATTTCAAACAGGACCTCAAATTTATTCTCTGAATCTCCTGACTCCTGCCAAATCAGCAGTTCGTATCTCCCAAAGCGGCAGAGCACCTTGTCATCAAGCTCAGCTCTTTCGAGGTATCTCAGTTCAGACCCACCGACCATGAGTTTGACCTTCTGGCTCATGTTCTGGATCATGAAGCTCAAGAACGGGCTGCCAGCTTTCCTATACGCCTGTATGGAGAGCTGTTTTCTGGAGACAGAGGTGTCATTTAGGACAAAGACGCAGGTCTGTCCATCACGGCCAAGCCTTACTTGATCTTCAGCGTGCATTTTGTATGGCTGATTTAGGGGTAGGTTATGGAAGAGTGGACAAATGGTTTGGTTAGGGTGGAAGAGATGGATATGAAGACAGGCGAGCAGTTCTTCGGTCTCCAGTTTGCTATTGTCATTCATTCTGGGAAACAAATGGACGCAACTTCTGTGGGGTTGAATTGACTTGTTGACAGTTAAACCTAAGGAAAAACGACAAGAAACAACTCGTTATGTGTTAGTAGGCTACATTGTACAGATGCATGTTGCAGCAAAACGTATTTTTTTTAATTAAGTGTGAATAGATCTAGCGAAAAACTTTACGCTAAAGTATATACACAAGGACTAAATAAGTGCCGTACAGTTAAACAAAACTAGACAGTAGCTCACCTTCAGAAGCTGTTTGCAACGATCATCAGTTAACGGACTGCTGCTCTGAAGCGGAGATCGCTGTGCTGTGAGCTCTACAAACAAAGAGGGAATTGCATCAGAAACATCCACCCCCCTTTCAGCTTGGGACTTCTGACTCTCAAAAACTCCAGAGTTGCGCAACTGACTTCCATGCTTTCGCTATCTGTTTCATATTATATTTCTACATTATTGTTTGACCTGGAGATACCAGACACGCTTTATTCTCGTTTTGATTAAAAAAAAAACCTATGTTGCGTAGCCTAATGTTAAAACTTAAAGCACTCGCCAGGCTTTATCTTGTGACATGACATCGTTTTAAAGACCAGATAAAAGAGGTACTGTGAACACGTTTATGGTCATCATTTACGATGTCTTATCAGTCACTCCCCAGAAACATCCTAACAAAATTGTAAAACCACAGGGAAGGGAAGTTGATGAGAAATGTTGGCGGCTTTTAGGCAGCTGAATGTGTCAATTGCATGTCAATTTCGTCATCATAGCAAGCTAACATTGTTTTAACATAATCCATAAACACGCACGTAGGCTAAAACACGTAAGAAATAAGAATGCTTATATTTCATTTATCTTTGACTCAGCTTTCAGTGTGGTCTGGAGCAGCTTGCTTTATCCCAAACATTAAAGCTATAAAAGTAATGATACATTCTTATGAAACAAAGTTTAAAAACTGAAGTGAACACGGATATGAAATCTAGACGGTAAACAATTGCGCACTGTTCATCTTTTTTGCTCAAGGGCGGATCTCAATCTAATCTAGGGTAGTGCAATACCACAACCTACTGGTAGCATAGAGACCCGGATTAAACCCATACAAAATCTTTATTTCTGTCTAATTAAATTCTATTTACCACTGTAGCAATAGTGATTTATTTAACTGCCCAAGTGACATGCAGCCTTTGTTTTTGTTGTAAACACTAACCAGTTACAGAAGCAGAAAGACTTGTCTGAGTGGAATAGCATGTGAGATAAGATGATGTTTAGGAGGCTGTGGGAGACCTCATTTCAGGCAGAATGAAGTTTCTTGTGGTGGTAAAAGAATTCTGAGATTTTCTTGTGTTGTTATTTCTATTTGTATTAGAATTCCCAGACTCTTCTGCTTTTTGATTTTTGCAATGAATGATAACATAAACATTCGTTTAATAGTGCATCGCTTGGCTGATAAAATATTTCCTGCCAGAAAAGCTGTCTGCTTCCTCATTCCCCTCTACTCTCATAAGAGTGCACAGAAAGTCACAATTGAATTATCATCCATTCAGAACCGTTTCTTTTTAACTTTCCACAATTCTAACTGGCCACGTTCCGCGTGATCCACATTCTTAAATTTGATTGGTTTATTCAGCCTGGTGGGCGGGACTTATAGGAAGTATATTACTGAATGACGCACCGACACCCGCCGGGAATGGTTACTCATTCGAGCGATCTCGTCTCTCCCCTCTCTCCATGTCTCGGACCCCGATGTACAGCATGCCTCGGGCCAGAGACCCCTATGCTGACAGGGCGCCGCCTCCTCCACCTGCGCGCTACTCGTATTAAAGTGCACCACTGCGCTTTTGTAATCCAAGGTGAGAATAGGTCCCTCAACCCAAAAATGAGCTCTGAAATGCCCTCTTAATATAGAACCAAGAATTCACGTACTTACCCTGTTCTGCGTGTCGTGTAATTGATGCGCAAGTAGTAGTAACGTAAACTTTGTATCAAAGTGCCTGGATCATTTTTTTATTATTATTTTTTTTTAATGACCTTATGGTCTTTTTAAAAGCACTGCTCGAGGAACGCTGAACTTCGTATCGAAGTGTTTAGATGGTAAATTCTAGTAACCGTATGGTATATTAAGCTCTCACTTCATATTAATCAAATAGACTTCATGCAAATCTTTTTTTAATTTAGCTTGTCGATTCAGTAATCCCAGATGGCACTGCAGCCGTTTGACTCATGTGGTTTGCTTTCTTTCCAGGTGTAAATTATTCAACAAGATCGTCGTCGTTGTCTCCAGGTGCACGTGCCGCGATACGTCTTTGTCTGCCAGAGCGCGTTTCGTTCGCCTGCGCACCATAGTGGAAGAGTTCTGTTGCGGACTGCACATTCTATAAAACTACCGCTTTTACACGCATAAAAACGTCATGCTAAATTGTCAATTCTGCTTTATTTTTTTGCCTTGTTTTTATTGTTTAACATTGGATAGGTGAGAGAAGCACTAAGCCAGAGTACGTAAATTAGGTTAACTTGGTGGTTTGGTAAAGACTATTAAAGGAACGCTTATAAAAATTATTCTTTCAAAGAACACTTCAATGTATCACACTGTACCTTTTTACCTTTAAAATCTGGAATGAGGTTATCGTTTGTTATTAAACTACTGTAACAAGCGCTATGAAAATTTTAATTTGAAATTCATTTGTGTAAAGCTTTTCTTTATTTTATCCTCTTTATTTTATTTTTTTTCTCCCCCCCCCTCTCCAAGCTATTTGTTAGTGCGGCATGCAAGTAAGAATACAGTCTTCGCAGCAATAAAACCTTTCCGTCTACTGGCTTTATTGAAATTGTGCTGTAGTGTTCATTTTTAATTGCAGAGTATCGAAGTTAAAGGACTTTGTATCATTTTCTTTCATAGGAACACTTGAAAGTTTTAATAAAAAGACTGGAACTTGGTCCATCGTTTTGCTTTTCTTGCCAACCTTTTAAACTCAATTTGCCTAAATAGGCATGAAAGTAACTATATAGCCTAGAGTTTGACATTCGAATTAAAACCCATAACATCTTGCTTCCTAGTTTAGAAGTATTACGGATAATGGAACCGCTTCTGTGGCGAAATGAAAACGATTACATCACTTCGTCTTCAAGGCTATTCTTTTGCCCTAAACCATTGGCGTCTCTCTATTCCTGGTCTGTGTCCAAATAATCCTGTCATTCTGATTCAGAAAGTGGGTAGACTTCACAATATTTCCTTAATCAGTGGTCCTTTTTAAGTTTGATTGTGCCAGGTAAGTCACTTGATTTAGTTTCTTTACAACTCTGCATGCCTTTTATATACTTAATTGTTTCAAGGTATATCTTAAGTACAGAGACTGCATACGTGTCTCAATGACATGTATTTGGATCCAAATGTTTTGCAAGTGATATATTTTAGGATTATAGTTTTATATTTTAGGTTAACTTTTATGCACCCCCCCCCCCTACAATAAAACGTGTTATGACTGTTCATTCATTTACCTGTGGGACACCAAATGAATGTGCCGCCTCCGGCAATGATCTCAGCATAAAAACTTTGATTTTATTTTTCCTTTTAAGGTGATTGCACTTTCAATAAAGCTTTTTTTTTCCTGCCCAAACTATGTCTTTGCTGTTATTTTTAAGAATATGGCAGTTGTGTATTAAGGTATATGTATATTTTGTGTATATAAAAAAATAAGTTTAACATGCACATATAGTCACTCGGTTAAACTGCAGTGTGTGTGTGTATATATATAATTATGAAGTACATTTGTTTGTTAAACATTGAATCGCTTAATCTTTATAGTAGAGGGTTAAACTGCCAAATGTGTTAAAACATTTGACAAAGTATTTGAAATGGTGACTTTCAGCAAGTTCTTCAGATATTTCAATTTTTATCTTCCATTTTGCGAGAGCAAACAAACCAATAAATTAAACTGAAAAAACAAAGGAAGATATTAAAATTAAAGGGCATCACAGACATAAGAAATTATTTTAACGGAGATACAACTTTTAGGGCTTTTTTTAATCTTTAAAACCGATTTTAAGTGAACTTCAACGGCTGTTTGAAAATGAGCAGAATTAGGTTTTGAGTTACCCCATTTGGTCTTCAGTATAAAATTCAACTATAATACCGATAGATAATTTTTTAAATAAAAAAGATTAAAGCTAATTGAACCTGTTTGTGTACTTGTATAAATCATTACAGTATATACTTTGAATATAATTCATTACAGTTTTTAGTGACATCTGTGCTTCAGATTGGGCGTTTCTTTGATCTAATTTGAAATATAGTAATATTTTAAACACTGAATAATTAGTAAAAGCTGTGTATGAATTCAGACACTGCTCTGAACGCGTGTTGGGTTTTTTGTTTACTCGTGGACCGGAAGTGCTGTCGGTGACGGCGGGCGACTCCATTTTAGGCTTCATTCATTTTAGCAGCCAGTGAGATTACGTGCTCGCTACGGTAAGGCAATGCTGTTCCCACACGAGTGCTAGTGTTTAGATATCACATGCAGATAATGCAGTCTGGCGTAGTATTGTAATGTAACGGCATGTTTCTTGATATGGCCACGTCTTCGGGAAACTTTATGTAACGTTAGTCGTGCTAACTTAGCGTTGCACAGTCGACACCATTGGCCTAATTTACAGCTCTCCGACGCTCATCGGTCGTACTTAATCATGTATCGGGCATTAAAAACATAGTTGAATGATGAAAAATAAAACTTAAGGAGGTTAATACGTTGGGTGTGATGGTCACGCGGATACGTGGCCAAACAACGCGAGTTAACGTTAATTCGGCTGCGCCATAAAGACGAAGAACTGAACCTGGTTTTCCACTTTACCGCTTCATCAGATCTGTGAGTGTCACTCACAGCATATTTAATGCTGAGTGGTGCGAAATCATTCCGGCCTGAAGCTACACAATCGAAACAAAACAAAACAAAAACTCTTGATAGGATTAAGTTGTCTATGGTTGGTTGTGTAGGCCAACACAGCAGTAATGTAGGGAATCATCTGTTGATATAACGTGAATTTCGAAACTATGCTCCCTCTGTCCAGGAAAAAACGGCAATAAAGATGGTTAAGATCTTTGTTGGCAACCTATCCTCAAGCACGAGCGCGGAAGATCTGCGCTCTCTTTTTTCTGAATATGGCAAAGTAAAAGAGTGTGACGTCCTGAAAAATTATGGCTTTGTGCACATGGAAGGTAAGCAGGAGGCCGAAGAGGCTATTCGCAAACTCCACCATCACGAGCTGAAAGGTCAAGCCTTAAATGTGGAGATGAGCAAAGGGAAGCCCAGGGGCTCCACCAAACTGCATGTGAGCAACATCTGCAGTGGCTGCACCAATCAGGAGCTCCGGGCTAAATTTGAGGAGTATGGCCCTGTGGTAGAGTGTGACATAGTGAAGGACTATGCCTTTGTTCACATGGAGCGAATGGAGGATGCCATGGAGGCCATCAGTGGGCTGGATAACACGACCTTCCAAGGTGAACCTTAATCCGAAACGACGAAATCCATGGTTATCCAGAGTTGAATTTTACTCCTTAAATTTTTTTAGCATGGGAAGAATGTACTACTCCTTTTTCAGTTCTTTGTAATTGCTGAAGAGAATCCATTTTCTAGGTAATTGGCAGTAGACATCAGATACACTAATATTAAAGGGATAGTTCATCCAAAAATGAAAAATCTGTCATTTGTTCACCCTCGTGTCATTCCAAAACTCGCAAGACATTTGTTTATCTTCAAAACACAAATTAAATTTTAATAAAAACCTAAGAAATTTCTGTTCCTCCATTGAAAGTCCATGTAACCAAAAGTTCGATGATTCAAAAAGTTGATAAAAACATTGTAAGCGCACATACGTCGAGCACATTTAATATGGTTAACAGGCTTTCGGTGGAGGAACAAAAATCTCAGTTTCATTAAAAATATCCTAATTGTGTTTCAAAGATGAACCAAAGTTTTATGGGTTTTAAGCGACATGACGGCAAGTAAACAGACGGAATTAAAATTTTTGGGCCACCTAACCCTTTAAGTGCTCTGTGGCTATCGTGATGCAATAATTCTCTTTTAAATTGACGGTTTACGTGAGCCGAAGGAAGTTTTATATTGTCTTGCGTGTGTTCTCTTCCTCTCACAAGGCAAGCTGATGAAAGTACAACTGTCCACAAGTCGCCTCCGTACAGCACCCGGCATGGGAGACCAAACTGGCTGTTACATCTGCGGAGAACCGGGCCATTGGTCCAAAGATTGCAGACGTGGCCAAAACGGTAGCTATGGCGGAGGCATGGGGGGATTTCCTGGTGGTAGAGGCCCCCCAAGGAGTGCTCCGAGTTACGGCATGGGCGGCCCTGGAGGTCTTCCTAGTAGAGGTTACCCAGCAGGGCCGCTTCCCCCTCCCCCACCTATGAGCCGGCGTCCCAGCTACGGCGAGTACGTCGTGGATACTCGAGAACGGTACCCCAGCAGGCCGCCGAGCACCTATCCCGAGAGGCCATCCGCATATGAGCGCGAACGCTACGGAAGCATTGACTATTACGAGAAGTATCGGGCTCGTCCGGCTGGCTCTAGCTTCTTCGAGGAGAGTAGGCCTCTCTCTATTCCCCCTCCTCCTCCCCCTCCCTCTTCTTCCTCTCTCTCAAGGATGCGGTTGGCTCCTCCCAGCCTCGATCCCTATGAGCGACGCCCTCTGGCGCCTCCGCCTCCCACGGCATCGGCGTACTTCTCGCGGGACCGTAGCCCAATCAGACGTGTGGGCGCCGGTTCGGAAGGCTACTTGTACGAGCGCTCGCGACTTTCCCCGGTATCAAGGAGCTCATCGACTTACGCCGTGCCGCGGCCCAGAGAGAACTACACCGAGCGGGTTCGATATGCATACTAAGCCACACACATGCTAAGGTGAGCGATAGCGGGTCGTTAACTTGGATCACTCAGATGAGATGTCAGCGTGATCTGTTCTAAGCGTAAGCCATTTCGAGTACAGTAGTAAGCGAAGCCGCTTTGCTCGGGTTAAAAAGTACAAAAGTCAGAAAATAATGTCAAGTTTTTCATCTCACAGAATATTTGTTCCTTTTTGTTTTTATTTATTTTTTTTAGGTGTTGTCAAGTGAAGAGACTTCCCGTCCACCTATAAGACTTTGCCTCAATCAGATGCTCCATTGGATTTCAAAGATGCAGGATTTGATTGATCACAATGCTTATTAGCTCTGCTCATTAATGTTTTACCCATAATGCACAAACTGCTGTTTAATTTCCCTTTCCAGAGGATCTGTAGCCTATATGATTGCAAGAAGTGGTTGTGATTTTGGTTTTGGTTTTTGCTTTGCTTTTCCAGAGGTAAGATGGGGTGTCTAATGTCAGCATCATTTTAACTCCGCTATTTACTACAATTACACAGATGCTCTGTGAGATTTAGAATATTACTTTCGTCTCTACTTTCCTCCAGTCAAGTTGTTGTGATCCACTATTATTTACCCTTTTTAATGCTCCAAGACTTTTCTTCAGCTGTCAGGTTGGTTTGCCACTTAAATTTCTTTTGATTTATGTTTGGTGAAGACAATCTGGTTACGTTTCTTCTGGCAATAATAATGCCAGCATTGTGTATTTATAGGGGGAGTGGCAATCTGTAATTAATCCTGCGGCTGCAAAAAGCTTTTTGGGGGGAAAAAACCCTCTAAAATTCAACATTCCAACATTTTTTTTTTTATTTGCTACAGGTGATTAGTATATACAAACTGTTCAGATTTTAATTGTACTTGCTTGTTGAATTATCTCATTGGTACGTTCAACAGGATGGTCAACTTGTTTCTCCTACCAATATCTGAGTTTTTGTGATTTGGGAGCTTGGACATGAATTTTGAGCTTGTTTTGATTGCCCCCCTTAAAAATATGATTTCGTATACAACCTAAATAGTTGGGCAGCTTTCAGT